TAAGGCTGGCAGAAGCATTTCTCTTTTTTTTTTTTTTTAACCACTGAGAGGCCATGGAATCTACCCAAGCAGCTGGAAAAGCAGCAAAGTATTCATTTTAGGTTAATTTAGAGAAGCAAGCTGGGAAATGCTTGGGGTGCTCCTTGCAGCCCATTTGGATCCACTTTAAGACTTGTAGAGGGGACTTCCCTGGAGGTCCAGTGGTTAAGACTTCGCCTTCCAATGAAGGGGGTGAGGGTTCGATTCCTGGTCGGGGAACTAAGATCCCACATGCCTCGTGGCCAAAAAACCAAAACATAAAACAGAAGCAATATTGTAACACATTCGATAAAGACTTTAAAAATGGTCCACATCAAAAAAATCTTAAAAAAAAAAAACAACAACTTTGTAGAAGCTGTAGAATGTCCCCGTGGTGGGAAGTCTTTAATACTCACTGAATGAAGGAGGAGGTTTGACTCTTCAATTGTCACCGTACTTTTAACCGTATAACATATAATCATAACTAAAACAGCACGGTAAAAATGCCTCCAAGTAAAGGGGAATTTGAGGTTCACTTCTAGGGGACTAGTCATTTGGGTTGAAACAATCCACTCTGACTGTTAGTCTCTCCAGAGGAGAGACATGAGTGATAGTGGACACTGGAGGTCTGGAAGTCCACACCCCTCCGGTCTACCCATCTGCCTGTGTTCTCTTGGGAGATGGAACAGGAACTGGCTGGGGACCTCCAGCAGAGGTGCGGCAGCAGAAAAGAGAGCTGGTATTAGGTCCTGGTGCCAGCGCTTACTGGTTGTGAGAAAGTGGGCAAGTTAATTGAGCTCTCGGTGCCTCAATTTCCTGGTCTGTAAAATGGGGACCATAATACTGTCTCCCTCACAGAGTTGTTATGAAGATTAATGGAAACCTGCATGTAAAGTATCCAGCAGTTTGTACATAATGAGCTCAAATAAAGGTTAGATGTTAGTGGCGGTGCTGTTTAAGGCTGCGTTAATTAGTTTAACATGGAAGCCACCTTCTAATCTTCCTGCTTCTAAGATGGCTAAAAAGACAATCTTTTTTTTTTTTAAGCCTCAGTTTATCATGAGTTTGAAAGTTCCTGGCAGAATCACCCAGGCCTTTTTTTTTGTTTTAGTTTTATTAGCAACTAATCAAGATGCTTTTTTTTTTTTTTCCATTTTTGCGGTACGCGGGCCTCTCACTGCTGTGGCCTCTCCCATTGCGGAGCACAGGCTCCGGACGCGCAGGCTCAGAGGCCATGGCTCATGGGCCCAGCCGCTCCGCGGCATGTGGGATCTTCCCGGACCGGGGCACGAACCCGTGTCCCCTGCATCGGCAGGCGGACTCTCAACCACCGCGCCACCAGGGAAGCCCCACAGGCCTTTTTTTGATTCTTCTTCCTGTGGTTATGATCTTGTGTCACACAAGAGAAAGGTCACTTTCACAGTCTAGGTTCACTGGAGAACTCCCTGCAGCCTCCCCTTTTCCTCTTCATCAGGACGATCCACCATGGGAGCCCCTAAATTTCAACCCGGAGAACCCCTCAAATCTTCTGGAGTTACTATCTCTTTTAAGAATCTTAAGACCACGGGATCGTAACTGTCTGTTTTCTGAAGCTATAGAGACAGACACTCAAGGAACAGATTTTCAAAAGGATACGTTACTCAATTAATTAGTCAATTCCCTTGTCATAGATGTGAAGTTACCCCTAAACCATCCGGACGGAGGAGACTCTACAGTGAGAAGCAAAGAAATGTTGGGATGTAACAATAGGAGGGCTCATTTGCATTGCAAATGAGCAACCAGCCGGTAAATGAACCCTTATGGGAAAACCACTCTAATCATAAAAACTGCTTGCTTTCGGGGAGACTGCAGTGTAAGGACAAACAGAGTCACAGCTCCATGAACCCTCTGCAATATAGGATATTAGAGAATATCTAGGTAGGTTTCTCTGAAAATGCATTTGAATACAACAAAATGCATTGCTGGGTAATAGACAGTATGTTTAAAACTTGACTCCACAACTGTGGACTCAATTATTTATGGTTGTCACTATAGCTATGATAGTTTGGAAATAGTCAGGCTTTTCTCTGTTTTTATTTGTAGGAAAACAAGTCATTCAAGTGATGCAATGTGACTGGCTGTCGATGGCAGTTACAAATTTTCAAGCCCTGCCAAACACAGGAGTCCCCGAAAGGGACATATGTTTTCTCTGCTTTGTGTTCCAAATTTGCCTTAAAAACATGCAATTATGTGAAGGCCTGACTTATATTTTCAAGAAAGAGCACAATAATGGCTCTGTTTCGTAGCTGTGTTTCTCCAAAACGTATTTATATTGCTGCCTTTTCAAAAGAAGTTGGTTAATGATCACTGGATTTTTGCATTCCGTCACGACATATGAAAATTTGATTAGGGCTGTGAGATTTAAGAACTGATTTTTTAAGTGCAACAGAAATTTCGTTAACATCATTCGGTACTGCAGCCCTGAAAAGTCTTCTGTACTTAGGGTTAAGGTTAGGGTTTTCATTCACTTCCTTATTTTTGTGGACAGTGGGAGAAGGGGAGGCCGGAAGCACGTGTATTTGTAACAGGAGGCCAAGATGGAATAGAATGACCAGGATAACAGAGAGCAAAGCTTGGAAGGTGCCAGAGGCTGTAGGTGTGTCATGAGCAAATAAATAGGAAGCAGGCTGGGTAGGATATTTTGGGGGATAGAAGGATGGCTCTGGAGAGAAGTTGTGAAGGGAGAGAGTGAGGCTTTTTGGTCACATTTTATACTTAACTGAAAATTGCTGTAAAACCTTTCATAAATTATATAATCACTGGCTTTGGTTTCATGCCCTTCATTACTATTATTAGTGATGGCATTCACTTCACTCTCGCAGAAGCATTTCTAGTAAATTTAAGGAGAGAAGATGAATTAGTCTCTTTCTGGATTGGGGAGCCCCCTCCTGGGAGGTAGGCAATTTTTTGTTATTTGTTCTTTTTCAGAAATGGAGGTAGAGAAGGGTGAAAGGCCCATTTCACATAATAAGGTGGTTAGTGGACAAGTAATGATCATGATATAAATTTCAGGAAATTCTGAAGCTAAGAGAAAAAGATATTCAGGGGCAGTGGAAGGATAGAAGTCTGCGGTAAGGATAACATATATGCAGTATGTTTTGACTGCTTTGTACAAATCTAGAGTCACCACTTTTTAGGGATATAAGTGTTTTTAGCAATATAAATTTAGGAATAAATGTCTTATGTATAGACTCATAAAGTATACTGTGTATTTAATTGTAAAGGCTCAGAAAAATACAATATGAAAACTGAAATAATACCATGTTTTTCCCATAATATTCCAACCTTAAGGGGAATAATTTTCAAATCCTTAAAAAATTGTTTCACCCTCTGGAAGTCACATCTGGGATGTAGGATAAGAAGTCACATGCTCTTAGAGGCAACATCTTCTTGTTAGGTCTCAGATTCAAGCACATTTTTCCCATACATGTTGTGTGTGAGCCTGATATGAGGTTGGTATAGTCTCACTGCTTCTTTGGATGCTGGCGTAGTCTAAGAAAATGTTGAATTCATTCAGTGGTAATATCTCTTACTGGGGAGGGCAAATGGCCCCTCAGTGTGATGGAATCATCTTTCATGTGTAGTCAAATATTGTTGGGGTCTTTCTCCCAGTCAGCTTTTTAAACATTACCTCCTGGGCTCAGGTCTTGCCAAAAGAGCCCTACCGGAAAATTTTAAGCAGAAACTTCAGGAGGAGTGTTTTCCCCTTCTAGAGCTAGGTTTCCAATTTTGTTCCTTGGTGAAAGCAAGTTCAAAAGTAATTATTGAGTCATTTAGGACAGAACTTGAAAGGTGCTTCAACTTTACAAAATTGTGGATCTCCCAGGAACTTTGGTGTCAGTCTGAGTTTTATGGTAAAGGCCACCACCTTGGAAGCTTGGAGGTGGTCAGAGAGATTTCAGAAGATGATCCTATTGGGGAAATAGCCTATTTCCTCCTTTGCTATCTTCCTCGGGCCTCAGGAGATGGTGCAAGAACGTCAGAGCTCAGCTCGGCTCTACCCACTGGTGACAGTTTATTCATTCTTTCTAAGCCGGAAGTTTAAGGATTTTCATTTATAAAAGCCAAATTGCTGAGATAGTAGCTAAGAGACTGGAGGTGAGGCAGAGGCATTCTCTGGGGAATCTGTTTATTGAGCTAAGGACAGGGGACTAAAAGGTAACCAAATTCCCTAACACCAAGGGTACCAAGAGCCTCTGACCATAGCTTCAGAAAATTTACCCCAGAAAAAGAGGCCACAGATCAGTTCCCCCAGGGCCTCCTCCTGTTTCAGCCTGGGGTGAGCTGGACCAAGGAGCAGAGGATGCGGCACTAGGCAGTTCTGATGCGCGGGACTCCTGACAGGGAAGAGAGCGTCTTTGGAATGTGATCTGGCAAAATATTTTCACTCTCCCTTTTCTCGTATCAGTCCCGTCCCTGATCTTTTCTTTCCCAAGTCAATGTCTATCCTCTCCTTTCTTTCCACCACCCGCCACCTCTTCCTTCCTTCCTTCCTTCCTTCCAGCCCAGTTGAGCCAAGCCTACCCCAGAACTTGGGGCTGAGGAATCAGCTGAATTGGAGTAGACACTGGGAACAGTGACGGTTGGAACAGCCTAAGTGTTACTCAGAGGCTTAGCCACCCCATACTGGCCTCCCATAGAGAGAGGAATTATGGGTTTCCAGAAATTGCATGTTATGGGCATTACTATTAGCATTATATGTTTTTAATTTATTTTCTTTTTGTTTTGATGAGATTGAACATCAAGTGACCCTTGAAGATCTACAACACTTAAATGCACTCTTTCAGGTAGGAATTGAGCAGGTGAGCTTTCTAATTTGATTCTTTTTTTTTTTTTTTGCGGTATGTGGGCCTCTCACTGTTGTGGCCTCTCCCGTTGCAGAGCACAGGCCTCAGCCTGTGCTCACGGGCCCAGCCGCTCCGCGGTATGTGGGATCTTCCCGGACTGGGGCACGAACCCATGTCCCCTGCATCGGCAGGCGGACTCTCAACCACTGTGCCACCAGGGAAGCCCTTGATTCTCTTTTTGATGGTTGATTTTTCAGTGAAAAGTACATGCCTTTTAATTCCTACAAAATGGCAAGGAAGAATAAATTCTCTGTAATTGTCACTTCTTAATGGAATTAGAAACAAAGTATGAATGCATCAGAGAAATGAACAAAAGGGATAGCACGCTAGAAGTTGACAGAGTTCAGGTAGGTCCAATTAGACATCCCATTCTTTGGACTCTTACACCCAGACTAAACAAAATGCAACTATGTTCAGAGCTAACTATTGGTTTTCCCTCCTAGGAGTATGAGAAGAGAGGAAGGCTGCTGGATATGGAAAGTCAAAAATGCATAATGAAGCAAGCATGAGGTCACAGAAGAAAGTAGATGGGTTTTAGAAATGTTGGATCATTGAAACCACGGTGAAAATTTCAACCATAGGAACCAATTAGGCTTGATGACCTATCTGTACAATCACTCTCAGCTCTGAACTGTGATTTCTGCTAACACCCAGCCGACCTACTGAACAACAGTTCATATAGGAAAATAGTTTTAAATTACTTAGTACACGAGGCCAACAAGATACTTAGAGACTTTTCTGGAAAAGGAGAAAAAGGCTCTTACTAGATCACTGGTTATTTCCATGTGGGTTGTTTCCAAAGAGTTGGGACACTTTTCCCACCCCCAAGCTGCTGGAATTAAGGATTTTAAATATTTTCTCTGCAGTCCTGCTTAGCCCAGTTTTTAGCCCAGAATATGAAATCTTATTGAATATCTTAGCCTGTTCAGGCTGCTGTTAAAAAAAAAAAAAAAAAAACCATAAAATGAGAGTCTTATAAACAACAAGCATTTGTTTCTTACAATTCCAGAGGCTGGAACCGAGGTCAGGGTGCCCTCAGGGTCAGGTGAGGGCCCTCTTCCAGGCTGCAGACTTCTCGTTGGATCCTAGCAGGGCAGAAGGGGTGAGGGAGCTCACTGGGGTCCCTTCAGTAAGATCACAAATCCTATTCTTGAGGGCTCCACGTTCACGCCCTAAGCACCTCCCAAAGCCTCACCTGCTAATGCCATCACATTGGCCATTAGGGTTTCAACATATGAATTTGGCAGGGAGGCGGGGACACAAAACTCCAAACAGAGCAATGAACAAGGCTGTATTCATAAGATAAAATACATGTGATAACAGGAGAGGCTGTTTAAGCTCTACTTGCTAAGGTTTCATGATTACCTCTTAAACTATAGAAAAAAATTATTCAAGGTAATGCACTATGATCTTGTCCCTGGAGTTTAAACAAAATCCCACCATCGTCAGACTGCAGGCTGATGAGGTCCCCAATGCCCCTTCTGAGTTACAAAGCCCTCGGTTTCCATGGCTCGAGTGGAAGTTTATGTGTGTTTAGAGTTTCATCTGCTGTGGAGAAGTGATCATTAAAAAACACCCGTCTTTTAAAAATATCTACTCTGTATGCATAATATTAAACAAAAAACTATGGGGTAGAGAGAGGAGTGTTTTCAATGGATAAATTATCAGGTGTTTTAACAACATCCCAGATCTTTTTAGCCAAAGCAGTCTAATTACCTGCATTTTTAGCATGCCTGCCCCCCCAGTCAGTGATCTACTCATTCTCTTCTCCTCTCATGCATTCATTCACTCACTCGTTTATTCATTCAATAAACATTTACTAGCGACACAGCATCAGTCAAATGGACTCTGCCCTCGGGGAGGTCAGAGCTGGCCTAGAATTCAGCCTGGGTGCTATGCGAGCATCTAAAGCAGACCAGGGAGCCAGGAAGGTCTCCTGGAGGAGACGAACCTTGGGCTGCGTTTTCAGGGGCACAATATACAGGGTGAGTGTTTCAGATATGGGTGCCACCTAGAGGAATGGGGGTCTTACACCAAAACTTGTGGTTCCCGTGGGGAGCAGAGAAGGTGATGCCCTATCTTCCTATTCCCGTATCTTCCCACGTGTTCTTCCCTTGCCTAGAATACTCTCCTCCCATTTTTTGCCTGAGTACTAATTCTCCCTGGATTCTGGTTTTTCTTATGTTCCCAGAATTTAGGACCATGCCTGGCCCATACAGATGTCCAATAAATGCTGTTAAATGAATGACTGACTTTAATGCAGTACAGTCATCATGGACTCAGACGAGTCTGTCCTAACTTTCCTAGAAAGAAGTAGCTGCTCTTCCTTTTAACCTGATAGTGGTCCGCAGTTTCCTGTAACACAGAATTTGTTTTTGGCACTGCATTGCTGGTTTGCTGTGACCCTGCTAGACAGCGAACGCCATGAGGGCAAGTAAGGCATCTTTCAGCTCTGAAGCTGCAGCATCTGACACAGGGCTTGTCATGCCATTGGTGCTCAATGAGTGAGCGATGTGAGGAGGAAGTGGTCCGGTGTCTCTCACATAAGCATGCTGAGAAGGCAGTTCCCCAGGGCAGGGCCAGAGGCTGTTCATGCAGACCCCAGTGCCCCTTTAGCTGTGACTGATGGGGGAGGCTGCATCTCTCTGGGCAGAGCCACGGTGCTGCAAGACCAAGGAGTGGCCGTACGATGGCCCATGTACTGCCCGAGGGGCCACTCCCACTGTGGTCCACAACACTGCACGGCCCTTGCCTCATGCCACCTTGTCCGGAGCTCCAAGTTGCCCAGGTGGACCCACACCTGTCCCAGGCTCTGCTTTTGGTGACAGGGGTGGTCTGGGTGGGCAGCCCGAGCCCAGGCAGTGACTGCCCCCCTCCTGAGCTTTTCTGTTTCCTGTTGCATCTCTCATCCTAATCTCTCAGGAAGCCATCCCTCTAGGTGTTTGGGTCTGTTTGGACTTTCGTTCCAAAAATATTTGTTACTTATTATGTGCGTGGTATTGCCTAGTTGCCATGGTAACGTCTGCGCTGCAGCCACACCCAGGGGTGTGAGATGTCTCCTTTGGAGCATGATGTAGAGGGAACTGGGTCTGAGCTCAGTCCCACAGCCAGGGTCTCTCCTCACGACCCCTACACTGGCACTGGGTATCGACTCACCAAGGGGCAATGCCCTGGTGTCTTGAAATAAGGCATCATCTCATTTTTTCCATTTGGTATCATTACTGAGCAAAGGCAAACACCCCTGAGACTTATAAGAGAAAAGCCAACACCTCACTCCCCAAAATAGACATAAAACCTGACCATCTCTGTTGAAGCTGCAATTATGGAATCCTGGGGTTTGAAAGGACCTTAGAGGTCACTTAGTATATAACCACTTCAATGCACAGATTCTATTCTCTGCTAAGCCAGGAGCCAGCATACGCTTGAATACCTTCAGCTTAAGGGAACTCGATACTTTATAAGGTAGCCCGTTTCAAGGTTGGAGAGCTCTGACCTTAAATTTGTTTTTTTCCCTTTATGAGCTGAAATTGGTCTTTCTTGACATCCTACCCATTAGCCCAGTTTCTAAGCTTTTGCACCACTCTCTGAGTTATCCATGGCACCAGAACAAAATTACCACAAACTCAGCAGCTTAAAACTACACATGTATTATCTCTCAGTGTTTGTAAGTCTCGTGAGGCTATAGCAAGGTGGTAGCTGTGCTAGGGTCTCATCTGAAAGCTTGACTGGGGAACAGTGCACTTCCAAGGACACACGGTCTCTGCCATGTTTCTTGCAGGTTGTTGGACTAAGGCCTCAGTTCCTTGCTGGCTGTTGGCCATTTCCACGTAGGCGCCTCTATAGGGTAGCTCATGGCTTGGCAGCCAGCTTCCTCAAAGCCAGCTAGGGAGAGAGACAGCCTACCAGAAGTTATGGTTGGTTACCAGCAAGTTACTCAAAGAGAGGGGGTTTTATCGGCCTGAATACCAAGAGGAAGGGATCGTGGGATCCATCTTATCGTCTGCCTGTTACAGCCACACAGAAGGAATCTACTCTCTCTCCCACACAATGATCCTTCTAACACTTGAAAGTAATTCTTATGACTTGCGCACCTTTTTGTCCTGGCTACACCCAAGTGAGTATCCTCACCATCCCAACCACTGTCCTCAGAATTTGCTTTGCTGTGTATCTCAAAGTGGGGATACACTCAAAGATACTGATACACTTTGCGTTTCAGTGTCTCAAACTGAAACTCAGTTCAGTCCTCTGGCTGGAACTGACTAGGGTGGAGTGGGACCCCCTGGGAGCATAAGCCCTGGGAGACCCACAGCTCCTCCTACTAATTAAGGCTTGATTTCAAACATAGACATTCGAGGAGCTCAGCCACTTGCTGGGGAAGAGTTCTGGTGTCAGTGCACTGAATTCAGATTAACAGTCCTATTAATGTTTTGGAGCAAACATTCCAGAGATCTTAGAGTAGTATGCGTTTTTGAATATGAAAATTGGAAAAATGAATATCTTCCCCCTCCTGTATCCTGTCGCCCACCAATCTAGTGAATAGTTTACTCTAAACACAGATTGATTTTTTTCTCTCTAGAGTATTGAACAAATAGAACAACTTTTCATGAAAATAGACTATGAAGCAGTGGGTAGAATTCAGTGGGTAAGTTGGGTTGTGTTTTGTGAGTCAGACTTGAAGTTAGTGAGGAAAATGTATAAAATGTTTGGTTCTGAGCCTTTCTGGAGTATCCTATGCCCCTCAGTACCCTTGCCAAGTTGAAGTTGAACCAAGGGGACATGCATATTCACAATTTTCAAGTTCTCGTAATGTCAGGATATGCCTGGAATAGCTTCACTAGGAATTGCAGTAGCTCAGGCAAGTTCCAAGAAGGCATTCCTAAAACCAGGAAATGAAGGCTACATCTGCCACCTTACCCAAAAGCAAAAGTGAAACACCGGTGAGCAAGAAATCCTGCGAACAAGCAACACCTGGTGATAATCAGATCACTGACACATGGAAAGTGTTTAGAACAGGGGCAGCCACAGAGTAATTTCTCAACAAATGTTATCATCATCGTCATTATTAATGTTTCCCAATTTGGGTTGTATAATGAGGAGCTGAGACATCTGCTTTTAAAATTCTCTGCCATTGTGCATCAGTATCCTATTGTTCTAGGATGAATCAAGTTCTAAAATGACAAGCTGAGCGGCATTCACCTCTATTCAGACCTCGGGCCACTGCCCCAACCAAAGCAAATACAGTGTTTTCACTGTCATCTCATTTGAAAGGGAACAGTCAGGATTCCAGGGAAGAGAAGGGAAGACTCTAGTGAGTTAGGGCTTTGGGGGAAGCGGAGAGAAAATGGAGATGTTCCCAGGCCCTACAGGCACGCCCACCCCTTCCCCAGACCGCAGGTCGGCTTTTCCCTACGTGCACTGCCGAGATTCGAAATGAGGCATACATCCTGGTGGGTCAGAACTGTGCAGTCAGACCAATGGGGGCTCAAGTCTCAGGCCAGCCACTTACTAGCTGTTTGATCTTAGGCAGATTATTTAACCTTTCTAGGCTTGAGTTCCCCAATTTGTAAAATGAGGAGAGTAACAGTACCTACCTTATCCAGCTATGGCAAGAACGGAGGTGAAGGTCCACATTGCACGGAACAGGGTATGTGCTCAACCCTCACCATCATCTTTAGACAGAGAGACTGGGCAGGGAAGCGAGACACTGAGTAGCAAATTTCCAGCCCTAACCGAACAGGCGCACCCCAGTTATTAGCCCCGAGGTTTTGGCAACCAAGTTCACATCGATAAGCTACTAATTATGTCAAGACTTATCCATGTCCTGAGGATAAAGAGAATTTTTGAAAGACAGTAGACGTTTACTGAATTTTCCTTTCTTACCAGGATGGCTTCTGCACGTACCTGCAGTTAGTGTATTCAGAGCAAGCTGGTGCTCTGGCTCGCCAGAAAGAGGTTTCCTCCCAGCTGCCTGCTGTGCTGCGAGGGCTGTCGTATGGGGGTCCCGTGCTGTGCATTCTCTCTGCGCCTGACGACACCTTAATCATGATCAGAGAAGATGGGGCCGTTTATTTCTGGTCCCTGCAGCTGAAGTTGAAAAGAAGAAAGCGGGTTTTTGTATGTGATTCTCATTTGATAAGGATGCTGAGTGCTCCAGTTTGATTTTATTTGCTATTTTAAACTGCTCCTCGAGTGGCATGATTACAGAAATTGTGTCCTTGAAGATAATATATTCATGTTGGATTTTGCCAGTCTATGGAATGCAAATAAAATATGATCTCTATATGTAGTGCGAGATAATTCCTCATTTTGCTTCTAAATCAGATGGATGAATTACACGTGATTCCATCATGTACTTGATCATATGTCTTAATGAATGACAAATGGAAAAGAATTTTTCTCCCTGTTAATGGTTATTTCAGTCTAGGTTGCTCTGTGAGGGTTTCTCCTTAGAGAACTTACAGAATCACAGAATCAGAAATTCAGAAGGCAAGAAGCATTTGGGAACTACACTTAGGATAGGAATAACAATACCTGACCCATTCCAGAATATATTCTATCTTTAAAGTCTTTCTTTTATTATCTCACTCAACAAATAGTTGAGCCCTTGTCACTGCTCAGGTTCTGTGCTGTGTGCTGGGGGTACAGACACCCATTTCTGCCCTCAGGAAACTTATCATCCACCCTAGAAGTTACAGCTAAACAATAACCCTCAGGCTGCCAAATAAGCCCGCTCTAGAGAGAGAGAATAAAGGTGGTTCTTCAAATCTATATAGCAAGTTCTCTATATAGGCAGACCCTGTTTTATTGCATCTCACAGATACTGCATTTTTTTTTACAAATTGAACGTTTGTGGTAACCCTGTATCGAGCAAGTCTATAAGAACCATTTTCCCAAAAGCATTTGCTCACGTTGTGTCTCTGTGTCACATTTTGGTAATTCTCGCAATAGTTCAAACTTTTTCATTATTATTTTATCTGTCATGGCGATCTGTGATCAGGGATCTTTGATGTTACTATTGCAAAAAGATTGCTACTCACTGAAGCCTCAGATGGTGGCTAGCATTTTTTAACAAAAAAGTATTTTTAAATTAAGGTATGTACATTGATTTTTTTTAAGACATGGCACACTTAATAGACTACAGCATAGTGTAAACATAATTTCTGTATGCACTGGGAAATCACAAAGTTTGTGTGAATTGCTTTATTGCAGTGGTCTAGAACTGAACCCTCCCTCAATATTTCCGGGATACGCCTGTAGTTGAGAGCGAAAGTCAACTAAAGAAAACTATAGAGTGGCATGGACATATATACACTACCAAACGTAAAATAGACAGCTAGTGGGAAGCAGCCACATAGCACAGGGAGATCAGCTCGGTGCTTTGTGACCACCTAGAGGGGTGGGATAGGGAGGGTGGGAGGGAGACGCAAGAGGGAGGAGATATGGGGATATATGTATATGTATAGCTGATTCACTTTGTTATAAAGCAGAAACTAACACACCATTGTAAAGCAATTATACTCCAATAAAGATGTTAAAAAAAAAAGAAAACTCTATTATGCTAAGTATGCATATTAAGGACCAGAGTGGCTTGAGACAATGGAAATTGTCTTATCATTAAAAGGGCATATTTTTGTTTATTTCCACCCTTCAACCCTTTAGGACAAGCCCATCATTCGGAAGCCCAGGTGGGTGACGGATGTCACCCGCACGCCACAGTACAACAAACTGATCCTAGGGACTGGGTGAGTGCCTGCAGCTCTTCAATGGCTAAGTGAATAATCGTTGGGCTATGAAATTCATTTCCATGTGTGGGTTTACACAGACACATACCCATCTGTGGTAATAGGGTAAAGTATGAAGACCTTAAAAAAAAGCTGCTGTGCAAAGAAAGCTATCACTTTGGCCTATTGCAATGATACTGTCCTTGCCTCAAACTGACAGGGCCCTCTTCTGGAATACTTCCAGAGTGAGAGAAAATGGTACCTTTTAGTACCATTTATTTTAGATTCAAAATAATATTGCCACTTTATTGTCCACCAAAATTCAGTCCAAAGTGATTTTATTTTTCAAAAAATAAAATCCACAGTAAAAAACAAAGAAAAAACGAAACAAAACAAGGCAAAAAACTATACTCACTGCTGGAGAGCCTTCAAAGAATGGGTCAGGCTGTTAAGGAAGATACTGAAGGTTTCCATCAATGGCAGCATAATGAAAATGAATGTGCAGCATCCCGGGTGCCAAGCAACTTCAGTAATGGGCCAAGGCAAGGGGCTGCGGCTTGGTGGGAAGGAATTTTGGAAAACTCCAAAACAAGGTTGAAGCAAAAGAAAGTTCAACACTGGAGCAGGGTGAACTGTGATGGGGGCAGTGGTGTCCAGGCTGAGGAATTAGGCTGTTTAGCATGGGGCTGGGGGCGTGGCTAAGTGAAGGGGCGGAGCTTGAATGTGGTTCCCACCACCCTGTCTGACTCCTCCCACCTCCTCTGACTCCACCCAAGCCCAAACTTGCCTCATTTAGAAGCCCCTGGTTTCCTAGGCTTCAATCACCTTAGCGAACAGTTAATACAACCTCACATCCTCCGGGCTATTAAATACAATTAAGTTTAAAGTTAAGTTTAATTATTAAAATATACTTATTAACATATTAATATATATTCTTATAAGTAATATTAACTATTAAAAAGCAACAAATTTGGATTTCTAAATTCAGCCCGGTTGGATTTTAAAAAGCATGCTCAGGAGTCAGGATGGCGGTGTGGGAAGACGTGGAGTTAGCGTCTCTCCACAACTAGGGCACCTGCCTGCCGCTGGTGGGGGACTCTGACGCCCAGGGAGACAGGAGGAACCCCCAAGTGAACCAGTAGGATGTTGGGGGGGCTGGGGGGGGGAAGAGAAGTGGAGGCCAGACAGAATCAGCGCCCCTGAGGCTGGGGAGATGAGGAAAGTCAGGCAGGAGGGACCCTCCGGGAGGAGCGAGAGAGGAGCAGAAGGCAATCACCTGGCCCACTTGGGCTGGGGAGTCTGCTGAGCTCCCAGGCTGGTACCCCCGCTCCAAAGCCCCCTCCAGGCCGCGTGGGTCCTTGGGGGCATAGGAGGGAGGCCGGGGAGATCAGGAGAGACAGGTGGGAGGAGCAGGAGAGGAGAGGAGGGTGTTTGCCCCTCCCACTCGAGCCCAGGAAGCCTGCTGGGCTCCCAGGTGAGGTCCCCTGCCCTCTGAGACCAGGGGTGGGGGGCACGCCTGGGCCCCTTCTGTTCCTTGAGCCTAAGCCCCACCCCCCACAGCCCCAGGGCCTTTTCCAGCCCTGTGGGTCCTGAGCATAGGCCCCACCCAACACCCAAACCTCGCCCTTGCTTAGGCCCCGCCTCCACAGCCAAGGCCTTCCCCCCGCTTTTCTTTTCTTTCTTCTTTTTCTTTTTTTTTCCTTTTCCTTCCTCCTCTGTTTTACTATTGTGGTACTGATGTACCTTATGGTTGTTGATTCATCTATATTTTTATTTTATATTCTTTCTAACATATCTGTTAGTTTCCTAGTCTAATTTTATTTTTTACTTTGTTATTGCTTTTTTTTTTTTTTGCCACCCCACACGGCTTGTGGGATCTTGGTTCATGAGCCAGGGGCCAAAGCTCCTGCACTGGGAGCGCTGAGTCTGAACCACTGGACTAACAGAGAACCTCAGACACCAGTGAATATTCATCGGAGTGAGGTCTCACGGAGGCCCTCATCTCAGCACCAAGACCCAGCTCTACCCAACAACCTACAAACTCCAGTGTTGGAAGCCTCAGGCCAAACAACCAGTAAGACAGGAACACAATCCAACTCATTAAAAAAAAAAAAAAAATGAGATAGCAAAAAAATATGCCACAGAGAAGGAGCAAGGTAAAAACCTACAAGACCAAATAAATGAAGAGGAAATAGGCAATATACCTGAAAAAGAATTCAGAGTAATGATAGAAAAGATGATCCAGAATATCAGAAACAGAATGGGGGCACAGACTGAGAAAATACAAGAAATGTTTAACAAAGATCTAGAAGAACTAAACAACAAACAAACAGAGATGAACAACACAATAACTGAAATGAAAAATACTGTAAAAAACACAAATACATGGAGGCTAAACACTGAGCTACTAAATAACCAAGAGATCACTGAAGAAATCAAAGAAGAAATTAAAAAATACATTGAAAAAAATGACAATGAAAACACGGCGACCCAATGCCTATGGGATGCAGCAAAAGCAGTTCTAAGAGGGAAGTTTATAGCAATTCAATCTCACCTCAAGAAACAAGAAATATCTCAAATAAACAATCTAACCCTACACTTAAAACAACTAGAGAAAGAAGAACAAAGAAAACCCAAAGTCAGTAGAAGGAAAGCAATCATAAAGGTCAGAGCAGAAATAAATGAAAGAGAAACAAGGAAAACAATAGCAAAGATCAATAAAACTAAAAGTTTATCTTTGAAAAGATAAACAAAATTGATAAACCCTTAGCCAGACTCATCAAGAAAAAAAAGGGAGAGGACACAAATCAATAAAATTAAAAATGAAAAAGGAGAAAACAAAACTGAATCTGCAGAAATACAAAGGATTATAAGAGACTACTACAAACAACTATATGCCAATAAAATGGACAACCATCAAGAAATGGACAAATTCTCAGAAAGGTACAATTTTCCAAGACTGAACCAGGAAGAATTAGAAAATATAAACAGACCTATCACAAGTAATGAAATTGAAACCGTAATTAAAAATCTTCCAAGAAACAAAAGTCCAGGACCAGATGGCTTTACAGGTGAATTCTATCAAACATTTAGAGAAGAGCTAACATCCATCCTTCTCAAACTCTTCCAAAAAATTGCAGAGGGAGAAACACTCCAAAATTCATTCTACAAAGCCACCATCACCCTGATTCCAAAACCAGAAAAAGATATCATAGAAAAAGAAAATTATAGACCACTATCACTGATGAACATAGATGCAAAAATCCTGAACAAAATACTAGCAAACAGAATCCAGCAACACATTAAAAGGATCATACACCATGATCAAGTGGGGATTTGTCCCAGGGATGCAAGGATTCTTCAATATACACAAATCAATCAATGTGATACACCACATTAACAAATTGAAGAATAAAAACCATATGATCATCTCAGTAGATGCAGGAAAAGCTTTTGACAAAATTCAACACCGATTTATGATAATAACTCTCCAGAAAACGGGCATAGAGGGAACCTACCTCAACATAATAAAGGTCATATATGACAAACCCACAGCAAGCATCAT